GTATAATATAATGTATAATACATTGTGAAATATACTCTGTAATATACTGTATAATATATTGTATTGTGTAATATGTTTTATAATAAAAAAAAGAAAGGCTAATTATGAACACATAAATTTTTGTATTTGTGAACACATAAAGTATACAGTTTATACAGTAAAGGAACCATACAGCTTATACAATAGCAACTGTTATATCTCTAGTAGCGTATGTATGTACATTAAACAATACAATTGTGACATATAGCAAGTAATTCTAAGTCATATTAACAGTCTTATGAAAAGTCTTATAAAAAGTCGTGAAAAGTCTTTTAAAACACGAAAGGGAGCGAAGGAGTATTTTCAGGAAGAAGGCGAAGAGTCATAGTAAGAATAGTGCTCTCAGAACTGGAGAGAGAGAGAGAGGTAACAAGCGGAGTGCCAAAAGGATCGGGAAGCTAATCGTGGGAGTAAGTGCAATTCTAATCCATGTTTAACGATTCAAGGCGATGATGACGATGCTGCTATGTTGAACTCCAGCTCCTGAGAGCATACTTTACATCCCTGAAGTAGCGGAGGCGTTTGAGATTGATTGATTGGTGAAGATTAAGGCCACCCAAGAGGTGGCATGGGCATGAGTAGCCCGTGTAAGCGGTGTTTCAGTGTAGACACAGCTGTCTACTGCTATGCAACCCGTCCTCGACTCAAGTCCATTACATCCAGCGGTCGACCCCACAGACGCATTCATAAATTTTAACATGCTGTTCATTCAAAACGAGAATTTTCTCAAGTATAAATTAATATTATAATATATTGGCATATTGTGTATATATAGGCATAGGATAGGTCAGGTGTTTAGGTTCTGTTGGCGATTATTTGTATTTGTAGTACGTGGGTGAAGCATTTATAGCGTTGTGGTTCGAACAAAATTCGTCAGTGAAGCACTTGTTCCGGATATGTTCGAACGTCAGCAGTTGTGAGTCGTGTGTAAACCGCTTTTCATTCATAAACAGGGGGTTTGGCGGGTGCATGGAATCACTTTTGGATCTTTGTTTGGAGGACGGGCTGTGCTATGAGACCTGCTGTTTCCTTTCACCTCATGCCCCTGTGAACCTTTCAGTAATATTTTGTCTGGCTGTTGTGAAACTGATCCGGTTTCTTGTATTGCTTTAATGTTTTATGGCGGGAGTGTTCATTGTATCCGAGGGTCTGAAACGGGAGTTCATTGTATCTGGGGTCTGAATTAGGCGGGAGAATTATTCATTGTATCCGAGGGAGTGAATGGGAATGATTAATCTGGTTATTGTATGCGAGTCTGAGACGAGTGATTTCGTGTTCATTATATCTGAGGGTATGAAGTCGTAGCTTTTAGTGTTCATTGTACTTGTGGGTTTGAAGCTGGAGTATTACTATTCATTGTATCCAAGGGACTGAACTGGGAGTATTAATCTGTTCAATGAATTCGGGTCTGAAGCGGGAGAATTAGTGATCATTATATCAGGTGTATGATGCAGTTATACATTATAAAGTATGGAGTGCGTGGCTACTGTATTTTGTATATTTGCCCTGATGTATTTATTTTATAATACGTATCCTACCCCTCGGGTGCCTACTCAGTGTATATTAATTATCGTTGTATAATAATTTAATTAGAAAGAATTATAGTATATAATTATACTAATAATTATAGTATATGTTATATAATTAATAGCCTACTGGAATAATATTGAAATCGGGCGGCTATAAGTCTTCGTTCCTTTATTAATTTCACGCAATGATAAACGCGCATAAGAGGTCTGTAGTTTTCTAAAGATGGTTTGATGACCTGAATTCAAATCATCTCAAGATAACCCGGTTTTAAAACCATTCTCCCATCTATACAAAAAAAAATTCAAAGTTAAATATAGCCAGAGAATTACCCATTGAGGCGTGTCTCCTCTTTCTCTTTCAGTACAAAAACTTCTCTTCTTTTTTTCCTTCTTTCATTTTTCATTCTGATATAACTGTTCTGGTGGGTTTTTTTTGGGGGGGAGGGGGGAGGGGAGGTTTTATATAAAGTAATTTAGATTGGCGATACATCTTTTTCGCGCGGAGTGATTGACGGTTACAAGCACCAGATGGAGCTACTTGAGTGTATTCCTCCGCGGCGTCTGTAAACACGCCCTGATGACGCTTCGCCAAACCGTCGTTAAAACATGCCGTGAAAATTCCCATTTTTTTTTTGTATTTCCACCAAACTGCGTTTCTTACGATACAATTAAAGGTGTTGTTTAACCATTGTGGAGAGCGGGGTTGTGTGTGTGTGTGTGTGTGTGTGGGAGCGACGCTTGGCTGGGCGCGAGGCTGCGTGAGACTCACAATGCCCTGTTTTGTTCAGCCATTCTCTCTCTGGGCGGGAACAGACATGCGCGTGACAATGGCGGACAAAGAACAAGTTGACAAATAAGCAAGAAACCTGAGAAGAAGATGGAGGAGGAGGAGGGAAAGGAAGAAGTAGGAGCAGGAAGTAGCTGTATAAAACAGTAGAAAGGAAATAGAAACGGAGATTTGAGACAGGAAAAGAGGGAATTACTTTAGAACTGAAGAAGTGAGCAATTCTTAATAGGCTTGAAGGTAGCGAATGGGAACAAGTGGGAGTAGAAGAAGACGAAAAGAGGTGACACTAGCACCGAGGATTATGGAAGCAGCAACGACCAATAGGAAAGAATGAAAGAAGATTGTAGGAAAAACCAAAGTAGGGAAAAAAAAAGAAAGAGGTTGTCAGTAGTCGTCTAGTGTCAGCTGAGGTTATAGGGATTACCGTTGTTTGAAAATTTCTGATTAGGCAAAAATCACTTCAAATTTCAAACTTTCTAAAATCTTGAAAACGGACATCGTCAAGACTCGTGAACGTCTCGCGGCTTGACGATGAAAAGTCTCCAGAAAGACAGTCTGTATACAGTTACCATGATCAATGTGCGAATTGGGGGTTACAGTTACCGGGGTTCGATACCTCCCTTGCCACCTCGCGGAGTACAAGAAGTACTCCTCCGTCACAACTAGATGACGATTCCTCATGTAAACCTTCTACTTCCATCGCTGGCTTCTCGGGGTATGTTGTTGTTGTTGATTTAGGGGCGAGGGCGGTGGTGGGATCAGATGCGACCCGGCGTACTCGTGAAGGCTTAATCGCGAAGCCTAATGGCGAAATGAATGTCCATTAACAGCTGAAACTAATGTGCCTCGCGGTCAAATAAACACAGACGGGAGATGATTGGGGAGCCCCAGGAGTCCCTCAGGGTGACAAGCACCGACCTCGCCCCCCCCAACACAGAGAACACCAGGTAGCAAAACCAAAATTCGGTCCCCGACTAAAACGCAAAATTCATCCAGTGGCTCCAGAAGAGCAGAAGCCAGCCGTCCACCACGTCTGAGGGCCCACCAAGACCCACCAACTCTCGGCCGTGCCGAGGCGTCGTGACAATCCGGAGCGTTGAATAGGAATGCCAAACGTCAGTATCATAACCCAAAATCGCGTGACTGAACGTGATCCGGCAGCCCCCCTGGCGGAGATGTCCAGGGGCCAGATTCATGAAAGCACTTATGAACCTGTACATCTTTTCTCAATCTTTGGCGGCTTTGTTTACAATTATTAAACAGTTAATGAGCTCTGAAGCACCAGGAGGCTGTTTATAACGAAAACAACAGTTGAATGGGAAGTTTTCATGCTTGTAAACTGTTTAATAAATGTAACCAAAGCCGTCAAAGATTGAGAAAACATGTACACGTTCGTAAGTACTTGCGTAAGTGCTTTCGTGACTCTGGCCCCAGACATCCGCTGGTCGTGAACGTTGAACCAGGAGTCGTTCTCGGGGGTAGTGAATATCCAACGACACATTTGAGGCTGGAGGCAGTGGTCGTACATAGTAAAACAGACACACCTCGTCTGATCCACACTCAAATATAATTTTGGTCCTGTTGGCGATTATTTGTAATTGAAGTACGTGGGTGAAGCATTTATAGAATTGTGGTTCGAACAGAGGACGTGAGTGAAGCACTTATTCCGGAAGTGTTCGGACGTCATCAGTTGTGAGTCGTATGTAAACTGCTTTTCATTCATAAATGGTTGGGGGGGGGGGTTCGCAGCTAGATTAACGAGCTTGGATCGTTGTATGCGAGGACGAACTGCACGCTGACGAGTAGTGTTGTGTAGCATACAGTAGTGTAGCATACAGTAGGGTAGCATACAGTAGTGTAGCACGCTGACGTGTAGCTGCCTATTTGAGGTTGGGAGCCAGACGCGTGTGGTTAACCTCTCCCAATTTTGCACCTTGATTCCTGTTGGGTACGTGCCCAACATAGTCAGGTCGGGGTGGAGGGGGTTCGCTATAATTCATGAGAGAACTGTTTGGCACAGTCTCATGTGCCAAGTCACAGTCACAGGGCGCTGGTGGCTGAGTGTACAGCACGCTGGATACGTAGTCCTGTGAGCTACTTGATACGTGGTTCGATTCCCGGCGCCGGCGGAAACAGATGGGCAGAGTTTCACCCTGATGCCCCTGTTACCTAGCAGTAAATAGGAACCTGGGAGTTAGACAGCTGTTACGGGCTGCTTCCTCTGTGTGTGTGTGTGTGTGTACTCACCTAATTGTGCTTGCGGGGGTTGAGCTCTGGCTCTTTGGTCCCGCCTCTCAACCGTCAATCAACAGGTGTACAGGTTCCTGAGGTGTGTATGTGTATGTGAATACATACACACACAATCAGGTGAATACATACTGATCTTCCTTCCCCCCCCCCCACGATTTTGGCACTGGTCTGGCGAAATACATTGAAAACAAAAAATTAACAAATTTCCTTTTTTCTCGCGGAATTGTGAAAGATTATGCATCAATCTCAGACAAATTAACAGAAATGTTCCACTCGTCAAACTTGCCTGTAGCAGACAAAGACATAACTTCTTGAGATGTCAACACTGGCAAGGGTGCCACCCCTTGCCCGAGGCCCATCCATCTCGTGTTACCAACTACCCTCACTGGCTAACAATGGCCAACTGTCACTCTGAAATCTTGGTTTTTTCCGTTAGTTTTGAGCAGTCTTTCAGCTTTTTCATAATATTTCTTGTTGTGTGCGTGTGTGTGTGTACTCACCTAGTTGTTGTGCTTGCGGAGGTTGAGCTTCGGCTCTTTGGTCCCGCCTCCTCAGCCTATTTGACTAAATATTTACATTTGTAACTGTGTATGGAGTCCACCACATCACTGACTAATGCATTCCATTTGTTACCTACTCTGAAATAACTACCCTGTATAGTTGAGAGAGAGAGAGAGAGAGAGAGAGAGAGAGAGAGAGAGAGAGAGAGAGAGAGAGAGAGAGAGAGAGAGAGAGAGAGAGAGAGAGAGAGAGAGAGGTGAGATATTTATAATGACATGTGATATAAACTGCTAAGCGTGACAGATATTGAAACAAGTGATAGATAGTAACAAGTGATGCATTCTGATGTCTGTAAAACACACACACACACACACACACACACACACACACACACACACACACACACACACACACACACACATACACACACATACATCCTCTACTGTTCACTCGCTCACACAAACATAACCCCTACAGATCTCCCACCCCTCACGTCCCAAAGGCCTACCCCACTCTTTCCCTCTCACCCCCAAAGGCATATCCCCTCACCCCATCGCTGTCACCCCCTAACCCCCCCTAACCAACCCCATCAATGATGGGGTTGACTCTGTACCTCCACAGCCCTGTTCCCTCCTGTTCTGAAGACCTACCCTCTCCGCCGACCACAGACCTACCCCCTTACCTCCCCCCCCTCAATCCTGCCCCCTTTCCCCCCTCCCCTAACCCCACCATCTTCCCCCTGTTGCCGCTATATTACAGGGTAGCCTCCCCCTCCAGTCAATCTATCCGAATCGTCTCCCTGAACCCTGACTTCAGATTACTTGATCATCTCTGGATGTGATCACTGTTGCACGGTGATCTCATCTAGCAAGCGACGACTGGAGTTGGGAGGGAAGATGGGATGGGAGAACTGCGGCGGAGGAACGCGGTTGTCAGGTCATCGGGAAGGCGGAAGAGACGTAGATGGTGATCGAAGCCGAAGACAGGCGGGCGAACACCTGGGATGACGTTTTCAACAGAATGCCAGAAGCATCGCTGGCCGCAGTCCCTGTGTTGGCTGTCTGTCCGTTCGTCTGCTCTCGTCTCTGCTAGGCCGGCTGTCTGCTTGACTGTCTACCAGGACGGCTGTCTGCTTGACTGTCTGCCAGGCAAGCTGTCTGTTAGGCCGGCTGTCTGCTTATCTGTCCGGCCGGCTGTCTGCTTCTCTGTCTGCCATTCTAGCTGTTTGCTTGTCTGTCTGTTGGACCGGCTGTCTGCTTATCTGTCCGGCCGGCTGTCTGCCAGTCCGGCTGTCTGCTTCTCTGTCTGCCAGGCAAGCTGTCTGCTTGTTTGTCTGCCAGACCGGTTGTCTGCTCGTCTGCCTGCCAAGCTAGTTGTCTGCTTGTCTGTCTTCTTACTTACCACATCTGGTAGAGTATTAACGGCAGCTGTTAATTACAGTCTACCCGTTCTCCCACACACTCTACCAACCAATATATTTAAGACACCTGATACTGTCCCATCCTCCCTTCCTCGTCCTTCCCTTATCCGTCCCATCATCCGTAATCCCCCTTCACTACCTTCTATCTCCCCTCCCCTCTGCTCCCCTTTCTCCCATTCCGGTCTTCAGCCTTTTCCCCTCACTATTTTTATGGTGTTCTTTCTGTTGTTCCCTCAGACCGTGTTAGACTGAGGTGCGTGTTATCAATGCACTAAGGTGCCTGTTATCAATGCACTAAGGTGCCTGTTATCAATGCACTAAGGTGCCTGTTATCAGTACACTGAAGTGCCTGTTATCTATACACTGACGTACCTGTCAACAATACATTACACTGCATGACAGCCATTCACTACACTTCACTGTCAGCCATACACCACACTGCCTGTCAGCCATACACTACACTTCACTGTCACCATCACTGTCCTTTGCTCAACCTCCTGTATATCATCACCGTATTTATGTATTTCTCCTCATAGAGCCGTCAGCTTGTTGTGTCCAGCAAGGTGATGTAAACAAAGTTTTTCAATAGCCTACAATAAACAGGATGGTGTTGAATGAAGACAAGTTGGTGCTCCTGCGGTATGGGCAAAACATAGGACTCGGAATCTTCCCCACGTACAAATTACAGTTAATCCTAACTATAGAAGGAATAGACATGGAAAAAGGCCTATTAATAATCAACTCGGAAGACCTTATATGTAGAGAATACACACAATAAACTACATGTCACAATTGCTAGAAAAATGACAGGTTGGATAATAAGAGTCTAACAAATATGACCTATTAGTTGAGAGGATGGGTTGTTGTTGACCAGACCACACACTAGAAGTTGAAGGGACGACGACGTTTCGGTCCGTCCCGGACCATTCTCAAGTCGATTGTGAATGGTTCAGGACGGACCGAAACGTCGTCGTCCCTTCACCTTCTAGTGTGTGGTCTGGTCAACATACTTCAGCCACGTTATTGTGACTCATCGCCTGCATATGGGTTGTTGTCTTGGCTCGTATCTTGTAACACTGTAATGATGACACTTGGTCGAGCTAAGGTGGAGATGCGTAGATTTTGAACGCTTTTGTCTGATTAGTTCAAGTCACTTCGCATTTGAAGGGGCATTACTAATGGACCCTTTCCCGTTATCGAGAAAATATACATTTACAAAGGGGTACCAGAAATGTATATGTTTATCTCTCAGAATGTTTGGTAATATGTTTATTGTTTGTAATGTGCGTCTATGTATGTATTAACACGATGTTCTGAACGGGGTGAGGATAGCTTGAGCTACCTCATCCTTTTGTGTGTATTTTACCTCAATAAACTTATTTCAATTTCAACGTGACTGTTGTTGTCTGCATGCAGGGCTGACCACAACAGTCTGGTTGACCAGACCGTCAGCCAGGAAGGACACTGTTCCCCGGAACCACCTAAATACAAACTGAATAAGGTGTACTCAAAATTCACTTAAGATATACTCAAGGTAATCTCAAGATTTACAGGTAGTATACTCAAGGTGTACTCAGGGTAATCTCAGAACACTCAAGATTCACTCAAGATACACTCAAGGTACACAAGATACACACTGAAGACATACTCAAGGTAGTCTACCCCAGGTGCGGCAGGTAAATACCTTTTTAAAATGCAGGGAGTCGAGTCAAGTCAGCATGGTTCCCAGTCGTGTCATTCACGCGCTAGGTCCTTTCCTACCCTTCCCACTTGGCCCTTGCCTCTGTTCCACCTTTCCCTCTTTTCCTCCGTCCCTATTATCATGCATTCCCTTCCACCTAAAACATCCCCAACCGCCATGATGGAAAATCAATCAGTCATCGAATTAGCTCGCTTCTATAGTGGTGTTTCCATGCTCTCTGAGTGATGTTGTCACATCAGATGAGGCTTCCTCCACCAACACACTAACCTGTCGATGTTTGAGAGTTAATCCTGCCTGCCGAAGCTTGCGAGTTTAACCTACATTCACCGACTTTCCGAAGCACGGGCTAAAGTATTTCTCTCTCTCCATGTGCTTGAACGGTAGCCATTGGCAGTGGAAAGGTTAGGTTAGTTGCTTGCATAGTTGGCTTCTTGGAGGTCGGTGGTAAAGTTACTTACTGGCTTGAAGGCTTGTATACCCTCAGGTCTCTCTCTCTCTCTCTCTCTCTCTCTCTCTCTCTCTCTCTCTCTCTCTCTCTCTCTCTCTCTCTCTCTCTCTCTCTCTCTCTCTCTCTCTCTCTCTCTCTCTCTCTCTCTCTCTCTCTCTCTCTCTCTCTCTCTCTCTCTCTCTCTCTCTCTCTCTCTCTCTCTCTCTCTCTCTCTCTCTCTCTCTCTCTCTCTCTCTCTCTCTCTCTCTCTCTCTCTCTCCCCGCGTGTCAGATGGACCTGAAGCCTATGCTAGGGAAGGAAAACCTGAAACTCCACTGAGAACGAGGATGAGGAGTAAAAATATACAGAACAGAGGAAGATGAAATGCCAGAGAAAATCCGTGTTGAGCTGCCGGTGTTCTCCTCCTGCCGGGCTTGTCACTTGGTGTCACACATCCTGCGCCTTCAAGTGGCCGCCCCAAGTGAAGGACGAATGTTGCCCCAATGTTTTATTTGCCGGTTCGAATGTTGTCCCAATGTTTTAGCTTGTAACTCGAATGTTGCCTGAATGTTTTATATGCGGGTTCGAATGTTGCCCGAATGTTTTATTGCTGGTTCAAATGTTGCCCCAATGTTTTATATGCGGGTTCGAATGTTGCCCCAATGTTTTATCTGCTAGCTCGAATGCTGCCCCAATGTTTTATCTGCGGGTTCGAATGTGTGCCCCAGTGTTTTATTTGCTGGTTCGAATGTTGCCCTAATGTTTTATATGCTGGTTCGAATGTTGCCCCAATGTAAAAAAAATGCCTGAATGTTTAGGTTGGTGGGTGAAAGTTGTACAAACGTTGGGTGGTGGGTAGAAAGCATGTGTACTCGTGAAAGGGATGATGAATACAGAGTTTCTTACAGAGGTTACAGGTTTTGGCAGCACGAGGCCGGGCAATGGCTGGGTATAGTGCTGTTGAATGTTAATGGTGAAGACCAATGATAATTGCAATTGTTAGGGCAAGTATGAGATATGTTAATTTTGCAGGTAATGGTGTTGACTGAAAGGTGAAGGTGGTATTGACCGCAGGTGTTGGGGGAGGTGGGGGATGGGGGGCAGGAGGAGGGTGGGTGAGTGGTGTGGAATCCAGAGGAAGAGGAGGAGAAAGAGGAGGCCTTGCCTAACGGGAAAGTGTGTGCTGGGACTCAGCAAATACAAGGAGACCTCACCCACTAGATCAATCGAGCAACGCCATTTTTTGGTTAAAGTGAGAAATAAAAGCCACCCAAGGCAAACGCAACACAAATACACGCATGCACGCACACACACACACACACACACACACACACACACACACACACACACACACACACACACACACACACACACAAGGGGGGACATGATCACAACCTACAAAATCCTCAGGGGAATCGACCGGGTAAACAAGGATGAACTATTCAACACTGGTGGGACGCGAACAAAGGGACACAGGTGGAAGCTGAGTACCCAAATGAGCCACAGAGACGTTAGAAAGAACTTTTTCAATGTCAGAGTAGTTAGTAAATGGAATGCATTAGGAAGTGATGTGGTGGAGGCTGACTCCATACACAGTTTCAAATGTAGATATGATAGAGCCCAATAGGCTCAGGAATCTGTACACCAGTTGATTGACGGTTGAGAGGCGGGACCAAAGAGCCAGAGCTCAACCCCCGCAAGCACAATTAGGTGAGTACACACAAACACACACACACACACACACACACACACACACACACACACACACACACACACACACACACACACACACACACACACACACACACACACACACACACACACACACACGAGGTGAGTGTGTACTACTAGGTGAATACACGAAGCGGGGCCGCGCGGCTGAGTGGACAGCGCTCGGAGGTCGTAGCCCTAAGGGCCAGGGTTCGATTCCCGGTTCCTGATCATAACTTCCTCTTTTCTCAAAATCTATGTCAGGAAGAACACAGTGATGAGACACAGCCACGTGAGGCAGAACACAGTGATGAGACACAGCCACGTGAGGCAGAACACAGTGATGAGACACAGCTAAGTGATGCAGAACACAGTGATGAGACACAGCTACGTGAGGAAGAACACAGTGATGAGACACAGCTAAGTGATGCAGAACACAGTGATGAGACACAGCTACGTGAGGCAGAACACAGTGATGAGACACAGCTAAGTGATGCAGAACACAGTGATGAGACACAGCCACGTGAGGCAGAACACAGTGATGAGACACAGCTACGCGAGGCAGAACACAGTGATGAGACACAGCTACGTGATGCAGAACACAGTGATGAGACACAGCTACGTGAGGAAGAACACAGTGATGAGACACAGCCACGTGAGGAAGAACACAGTGATGAGACACAGCCACGTGAGGCAGAACACAGTGATGAGACACAGCTACGTGAGGCAGAACACAGTGATGAGACACAGCTACGTGAGGCAGAACACAGTGATGAGACACAGCTACGTGAGGAAGAACACAGCTATGAGACACAGCTACGTGAAGAAGAACACAGCTATGAGACACAGCTACGTGAGGAAGAACACAGCTATGAGACACAGCTACGTGAGGAAGAACACAGTGATGAGACACAGCTACGTGAGGAAGAACACAGTGATGAGACACAGCTACGTGAGGAAGAACACAGTGATGAGACACAGCTACGTGAGGAAGAACACAGCTATGAGACACAGCTACGTAAGCCGATATAAAAAAAAATGAATGAACTGGGAGTCATTGCAACTGGAGATCAACAAATAGAAAGTCGGGGGTCCAGGAGCTGAAGCCTCGTTCTGCAACTGTCCCCCCCTAAAGAGCCGTTAAGTAAGCACAATCAGGCTCAGGTAACACGTCCTCTGTGCCAAGACACTTAAATTGCAACTTATAATATATATAAATTAAAATTTCACATACACTTTAAAAAAGGCGGAAAGTTATGTGGAGAACACAGGCGCACTCCAGGAGGGCGTCCCCAGGGAGCAGCGCTGACGGGAATACACTAGCAGGATGAGCGCTCCAAGAGGCGCAGCGCTGACGGGAATACACTAGCAGGATGAGCGCTCCAAGAGGCGCAGCGCTGACGGGAATACACTAGCAGGATGAGCGCTCCAAGAGGCGCAGCGCTGACGGGAATACACTAGCAGGATGAGCGCTCCAAGAGGCGCAGCGCTGACGGGAATACACTAGTGAGGTGGGACCAAAGAGCCAGAGCTCAACCCCCGCAAACACAACTAGGTGAGTACTAGCAGGATGAGCGCTCCAAGAGGCGCAGCGCTGATACACTAGCAGGATGAGCGCTCCGAGATGCGCAGCAGAGTGGCACAAAACGAGTCACAAGCGTGATGTTTGGTGATTACTGCTGATGAGAGAAGCTGGTGGCGCAGTGGTAACATCAGACTCGCTCCACAAGCGACTCAGATACCACTGCGCCTAGGTTCGTATCCTGGCCTAGGTTCTCATCCATCCTAATCCTCCCCGGTCTAGGTTCGTATCCTGGCCGGGGGAGTATTGACTCAGGCACTAATCCATTAACTATATGCCTCTGTTCTCCCAGCAGTGATTGGTTGCCTGGTGGTTAAATCCTCTGCCTCTGAGGGTGCTAAGATGAACGTAGGGAAACGTGTCAGGCTCACTAAAAGCGTGAATGCCATTTTGGGAAAGTTAATTTGTCAATTTCCATAAATGAAGATGATCCATGGAAGCATAAATAAAGTTCATGGCGTTATCCTTAATAATAAAGCAGAAAATCTATAAAACATTGTTCATTATAAACTACAGCGAAAATGGGTATATTTATGCTATCTTGAGGTTATCTTGAGATGATTTCGGGGCTTTAGTGTCCCCGCGGCCCGGTCCTCGACCAGGCCTCCATCCCCAGGAAGCAGCCCGTGACAGCTGACTAACACCCAGGTACCTATTTTACTGCTAGGTAACAGGGGCATAGGGTGAAAGAAACTTTGCCCATTGTTTCTCGCCGGCGCCCGGGGTCGAACCCGGGACCACAGGATCACAAGTCCAGCATGCTGTCCGCTCGGCCGACCGGCTCTATATGCTATAACAGCATATGCTAATTATTGTTTTCCTGTGTTTACAAAAATACTCGAAATCACACACTTTGATACAATTTTTACAAGCATCACTCTAGACTGGCGCCCGTGACCTCGTGGCCAAGAGTGCGTCCACTCAAACACTTACTCCACAAAGGAACTGGAACGATTGAATAGGAACCATTGTAAAATTATTTGAAGCTATAAAAGGCATTCGGAAAAACGCTTCACCTTTCTTCCTCAATTCACTTGAGTATAATTTTTTTCCTTCAACCCAATTTGTTCCACATATTTATTTACATATTTCTCTCACATGTTTATACATTTTATTTATCATATATTATTTATTTCCGCGTAGTTTTCCTTCGTCGTTTCTGCATGGAATATTGTGGTCGTTGACGGGGGAAATAAGTCCCTCTTCATGTGAGTGTCAAGGGCTTTAACCCGTCCTCTTAACTAATGCCTTATTTTAAACCCATTCTCCAAATGTACAAAAATAAGGGGGGAATATGAAAAGTTACGGAGCACAAGTTATTCACGTTTTCAATTTTGTAGTTGGTTAGGTTAGGTCGGATACGTTCAAGTGTTTCAGTATATACCCTCAGTGTCTGTTATCTGTAGTTGTAGTCTGTAGTTGTCTAGTTGCTGTGCCTTGAGGTAGGGGGCGCTTGTAGAGACGGTAAGTGAGTGGTTATGTAGTTTGTCAACTTTGTAGAATACACAGACCAGCTACTTCTGTGTAGGAGAGTCTGGATGTGTGGGTCAGGAATATTTGCTTCTCGTTAGATGCTCAGTTTGTCATGAGGAGAGTGTGTGTCTCGAGGTGTAGGAGTGTGTGTGTGGAGGTGAAGGAAAGTGTGTGGAGGTGTATGAGTGTGTGGAGGTGAAGGAGTGTGTGTGGAGGTGTAGGAGTGTGTGTGTGGAGGTGTAGGAGTGTGTGTGTGGAGGTGTAGGAGTGTGTGTGTGGAGGTGTAGGAGAGTGTGTGGAGGTGTAGGAGAGTGTGTGGAGGTGTAGGTGAGTGTGTGGAGGTGTAGGAGAGTGTGTGGAGGTGTAGGTGAGTGTGTGGAGGTGTAGGAGAGTGTGTGGAGGTGTAGGAGAGTGTGTGGAGTTGTAGGAGAGTGTGTGGAGGTGTAGGAGAGTGTGTGTGAAGGTGTAGGAGAGTGTGTGGAGGTGTAGGAGAGTGTGTGTGAAGGTGTAGGAGAGTGTGGAGGTGTAGGAGAGTGTGTGTGGAGGTGGAGGAGAGTGTATGGAGGAGGTGGAGGAAAGTGTGTGGAGGTGTAGGAGTGTGTGTGGAGGTGTAGGAGAGTGTGTGGAGGTGTAGGAGTGTGTGTGGAGGTGTAGGAGAGTGTGGGTGGAGGTGGAGGAGAGTGTATGGAGGAGGTGGAGGAGAGTGTGTGGAGGTGTAGGAGAGTGTGTGTGGAGGTGTAGGAGTGTGTGTGTGGAGGTGTAGGAGAGTGTGTGGAGGTGTAGGAGAGTGTGTGGAGGTGTAGGAGAGTGTGTGGAGGTGTAGGAGAGTGTGTGTGGAGGTGTAGGAGAGTGTGTGGAGGTGTAGGAGAGTGTGTGGAGGTGTAGGAGAGTGTGTGGAGGTGTAGGAGAGTGTGTGGAGGTGTAGGAGAGTGTGTGGAGGTGTAGGAGAGTGTGTTGAGGAGAGTGTGTGGAGGTGTAGGAGAGTGTGTGGAGGTGTAGGAGAGTGTGTGGAGGTGTAGGAGAGTGTGTGGAGGTGTAGGAGAGTGTGTGGAGGTGTAGGAGAGTGTGTTGAGGAGAGTGTGTGGAGGTGTAGGAGAGTGTGTCGAGGAGCTTGTGTATTCCGCCTGGAAACAAAAGCGTTATTTGTCGAGTCACTGAGCTTGACAGGCTGAAGATGGCGAGTCCCAAATTCGAGGGATTTACGAGTGTGCTATAATCCTGATTTTGGATTTATTTTATTTAATATTAAGAACTAACCAGGCGCTGGTAGAACATTATTCAATCCCATCACGAGATTACTTCACCAACAACTGGGGATTACTGAGCTCGTGGATTACTCCACAGTCGCAAAAGAATTACAATGACGTTTCTTGGAGATTACTCTTTAAATTTTGTGAGTCCTTCGTTCCTTGGAACGCCACCTTTTCGTTGTAGCATCTTGCAAACCCTCGCTTCTTGGTATAAAAGAAGATATTATGAGTGTTTAATCCTCTAGTGATAAAGTGTTATTCAGGCGAACAGCGCTGTGCCTTCCGGTTTAGTTTTTCTTGCTGTTGAGTCAAGACGGAATATGTCAATACCAGAGGATTGATAAACATTGTGTCTCCATGTTGCCAACGACTTCGTTAATACCGTACCAGCGACATCTTTAATCCAATAAATCATTCAACCTTTTGCATGAGGATTAATCTGCTTGCTTTGTTGTTTTAGAATTTATATGTCGCTTCAAGGGGATTACTTTTGCATTCCCAAAGGACATAAACTGGATAGTTCTCCAAACAAGCGAACGGGCGATATAGATCAATTCCTGGAGATTTTTGTCAATCCTGGAGATTTTTGTAAATCCTGGAGACTTGTATCATTACTTTGTAATTACAGGTCTGTAATTTATGATATTATTGGAAATTATATCACAACTTTCAAATTATTGAATTATAGAAGAATTCAATAATTTAGAGTGATGGATTCATTTAGAATTATGGATTAATTTAAAATTATGGGTTAATTTAGAATTATAGAATTATTTGTAATATTGGATTTATTTGGACTTATTTGCATCAAAACATTGCATAGAAATCTTATACTATTAGAGAAGGAAAGCTTTCCAGAACATTTCAGGTGTGAGTAACTGAATGATCACTTTAGTATTTTAAGGAATCCTTAGGAAGTAGATCACTGTAGGATTTTTGGATTACAAGATATTTGTTGTAAGATTATTAATTGAAAATATGACCTGATGAGTAAAACTACTTTCTTAAGCCACTGGTGATTCACGTACATATTCCTAAATTGGGAGATGATGAGACGATTGGGAGATGACGATTGGGCTCAGGAGGAGCTGTGAGTCAAGTCTGGGAGGTGAGTTGAAGCCGTCTACTGAGTCAACCCGTCTAATGACGGTAATAAACGACATGTGGAACTGTCATATGACTGTCATATGACTGTCACATGACTGTCATATGACTGTCATATGAATGTCATATGACTGTCACATGACTGTCATGTGACTGTCATAAGACTGTCATTTGACTGTCACATGACTGTCACATGACTGTCACATGACTGTCATATGACTGTCATATGAATGTCATATGACTGTCATATGACTGTCACATGACAGTCACATGACTGCCACATGACTGTCATATAACTATCACATGACTGTCACATGATTGTGAACGTGAATGTGTGGCTAAATTGCAGCAGAAAAATTACCAACTAATCGCCCCAAAGAATTAACGAAATATTAGGTGATATCAGGAAAATTCCCGTAGCATTGCCTGGAGGATTTCTACCCTATCATTAAGGTCCGGGACACGTTCCTGGAACTCTACTGGAAGGAAAGATCACGTTCCAGACAACTCTCTGGAAGCCGGCAGACCCCGCCCCCACCCCTCGCCATCCATGCCTAATTTATCTGTTCTTATCTCTATCATAACAGTAGTAATAATAATAATAGTGAAGGTGGGAAAAAAGG